CTCACCGATGGTCTGTAATATCTCTGTATATAATTTCGTCAACTTTTTGATGGTATCCTCGCGTTTGTCCACTTCTTCGGCGACCACTTTCTGATAGTTTTCCGAACCACTCGTTTGATAGGCTTTTACTTCGAAATATTCCTTTGAATCCATTTTCATATAATCTTTTACTTTTTTATTTATCTACCAAGGTATTGTACACGGAAACAATGATATATTAATATGACTGTTGAGTGTAGTGATCTGGATTCTATGTGATCAACTTATTAACAATAATGTAGTCTTGGTCTGTCAAATTAAATAATACTTATTAATAATTAATTATAAAAGTGTGGATCAATTGACCGTCTGCTGAACAGTTGACCACCTGTTCATTGAAAGCTTTTTTAAAGTACTTTTTATGCTGAAAACAAATCTGATGTTAAAATATTTTTATATCAATCCGTTTTCGAGATAATCGGTGGTAAAGTCGATTTAAACGCCTTTGCATTTGCATTACACAGACAGTGCAACAGTTATGTGCTTTGCAGTGAAGCAGTGAGGACTTCACTCGCAGTCAAACCATTTACGTGCTTCACTGCAAAGCACATAACTGTTGCACTGTCTGTGTAATGCAAATGCAAAGGCGTTTAAATCGACTTTACCACCGATTATCTCGAAAACGGATTGATATAAAAATATTTGAACATAAGATTTGTTTTCAGCATAAAAAAGTACTTTAAAAAAGCTTTCAATGAACAGGTGGTCAACTGTTCAGCAGATCCAATAGACAAGTTGTTGACAAAACCCTGACTTAGGGTTTATTTGTAATACAAATTGTATGGCATATGAAGTGTTGGAGAAATAGTGGAAAGCATTGAACGCTATTTCTATCGCATTTGATGCGATATTTTGGTTATTTTGGTCACAATTATTGCAAAACACTGTTGTTTTTGCTCTCATTTTATGGTTATTTGCAAATAATTCTTCATTTCATTTGATCCACTCGTGTGCCACACATTCACTTCAATTTGCGTTCAATTAATAAATTAATAAATTAATAAAATGTCTCATTTTAAGAGTGAAGTCATTCAGAGACTAAGAGTAAGTGATGACTATTTATAAGAAGTAGCAATTTGGGTGATAATTAATGGTATGATAATTAATGGTATGATTGTCTCAATAGTCGGACATCCGGTCAAAACTGGACCAAATCGGGGCGTTTGTAGGTATGCGTCGAAAACCATTGTCTCACTGATGGACACAATGTCTGTACCAATCGATTGACTAATGAATTGTTTTGATGGCATATGTGTGCAGACAATGAATTAGCGGATTATATAATGGTTTTGGTGGCGAACCAGAAGACCAAATATCAGATGAAAGACGATTTGTCGCTCTTCTTGGGCGCAGAGACGGACCAATTCGTGAATTGGTTGCACACGACTCTCAAACAACTGCAACTCAACGCCAATCCAAGTATTGGCCACTTCTTGACCATCACTTGATGGGTGTCTTAATGTCTAATATATTTGTTTGATATTAAAGGCGACGACAAGAATGTTGTGGCGAATGAAGAGAAAGTGCAGAAAGAGTTGACCAAAAAGACGAGTTTAGACGCGAATAAGAGTTCAGCCAAACATAAAAGGACTAAAAGTGATGGCATTCAAGAAGACAAACCAGAAGTGGCGACAAAGAGTGTCAGTGAGAGTGATGTTAAGGGAAACAGTGAACCGGCGAAGGAGTTGATTCCACAGACCAATGATGTCGTAGAATCCGATGACAATAAACTTGAAAAACACGAACAAAACGATAGCGAAGTTGTTCTGCGATTGAATCCCGACGGCGACGGAGATGTCGACGAATTACTGCAAGAAAATGATGTCAACGACGACCACAAAATTGGTGCCAAGAAAGTAGAGACCAAACAAGAGGTGGCAAAAGAGGTGAAGAGTATAAAAGCAACGCTTCCCAGACGACAACCACTGACTACAGCGCCCGTGTCTACCATCGGAGCGGTTGTTCGCAGTAAACCTCGACCTGTCAGCAGTGATGATGAGGACAGTGCCAAAGAGTGCAACAGTCGACCAGTGGTGTCATCGGTGGCCAGTGTTGTGCGGGTCACTCAACGCAAGCCAAGTGTTCCGCTCGCACTTCAGGCCAATAAGAATCTGTTGTTGAGAGCCATGAAAGACGCTCACCAGTCGACCGCCAGGAAGCGGNTTTATATCAATCCGTTTTCGAGATAATCGGTGGTAAAGTCGATTTAAACGCCTTTGCATTTGCATTACACCGACAGTGCAACAGTTATGTGCTTTGCAGTGAAGCACGTAAATGGTTTGACTGCGAGTGAAGCCCTCACTGCTTCACTGCAAAGCACATAACTGTTGCACTGTCGGTGTAATGCAAATGCAAAGGCGTTTAAATCGACTTTACCACCGATTATCTCGAAAACGGATTGATATAAAGATATTTTAACATCAGATTTGTTTTCAGCATAAAAAAGTACTTTTAAAAAAAGTTTTCCATTTAACGGGTGGCCAACTGCCAGCAGACGGTCAATTGATCCACACTTTTATAATTAATTATTAATAAATATTATTTAATTGTACAGACCAAGATTACATTATTGTTAATAAGTTTATCACATAGAATCCAGACCACTACAATCAACAGTCATATTAATATATCATTGTTTGAGTGTACAATATCTGGAAGATAAATAAAAAAGTAAAAGTAAAAGATTATAATTATAATGGATTCAAAAGCCTATCAAACGAGTGGTTCGGAAAACTATCAGAAAGTGGTCGCCGAAGAAGTGGACAAACGCGAGGATACCATCAAAAAGTTGACGAAATTATATACAGAGATATTACAGACCATCGGTGAGGATCCCGAACGCCAGGGTCTTATGAAGACACCGATGCGAGCGGCCAAAGCTCTGTATTACTTCTCGCACGGGTATGGCGTGAAACTGCCCGACCTCTTGAACGGTGCCGTCTTTAATGAAGATCACGACGAAATGGTTATCGTCAAAGACATTGAGATGTTCTCCCTTTGCGAACACCATTTGGTGCCCATCTATGGACACGTCTCTATCGGCTATTTACCTAATAAGCAAGTGCTGGGACTGAGTAAATTGGCCAGGGTCGTTGAAATGTACGCCAGACGACTACAGGGTCAGTCAATTTAGTGAACTCCGATTTATGAATTGTACTTTTAAATTGTACTTTGTACTTTTATGTTAAATATTCATTTATCTGTTGTTTTCTAAACCAAAGTCCAGGAAAGGATGACTAAACAGATCGCAGAGGCTATCACTGTGGCCATCAACCCGACCGGTGTAGGGGTTGTCATCGAAGCCACGTATGAATTGATTATAACTTAGTT